TCTAGAGATGACTCGTTCGACTTCCAGCGTGCCAAACTACTCTTTCCGCGCACAAAATCCTGTTGGTGTGTGTCGGACAGACGTCTCTCGCCGCACCATTCCAGCTATCTGTGTACGAGGACGTCCATCTCGCCATTCTGCACACCAAACCACTCCGATCTTGTCCGTCCACGCCTGAGCCAAGCTGTCTGCATTGAGCTAAACCAAACCGAGTTGAGCCGCTTTCTTGTTAGACAAATCTAGTTCCAGCTTGCAGTGCCTTTTTGGCATCCTGTAGTGCTAATTAAAAGATCCGTTCTTCGTTACTGGGTATTATTTTTTTCCTGTCTCTAGTTATTTTAAATAATTACAAGAGTAAAGAAATTGGTTGTTCTTAATTTGGGTAACCCTTCATCAACTATTGGAGTTTTTTCAAACGAGAAGATTCAAAACCTAAAATGTTTCATCTCCCAATTTAACCATTCATCAACTATTGGTACGTCAAAAATAGTAAAATTAGGTATTATTCATCTCTCTGCTATTTCCAATTCTGATACTTGGATTATAAACTCTCGAGTTAATAGACACATGACAGAAACATGTCCGTACAGCAGATGAATAATACACTCTTATATCTGGAACAGATTCCATTAATTGTATTTAAACCATTACTCTGTCTTCAATTCTTTATGTGTCTACTTTTTTTAACAGTTTCTTATCCATTAGCGTCATCACTAGAGATTTTAACTATAAAAATTGATTTTTTTCTTAACTATTGTGTCTTTCAGAATCTTCAAACAGGAACGACAATTTGACACTGATAGATTGCAGAATGACTTACATTTCTTGAATTAAAACAAAAACATAATTGAGAATCAAGCTACCTTCGGAAATACCGATGTCAATCAGAAAATCTTACAGTTGCATCGATGGTCGGGACATCTTTTTTTTTTATTTTAGAAAAATTATATCTCAATTTATTTAAAAAAACTTTAATGGATTCTTTATTTTATTATGCATATGAGCTAACTAAATATAGGAGTTCTTCTCATTTGAATAAGCATAGAAGTCCTATCCTTTATCACTATTCACTTTGATGTTAGATGACTTATTCAAAATAGCTCTTTATTTGATCATAAATAGTTTGTTATTTTCATTGATTGTTGTACTAAATAAACATGAATTTATCTATTAAAAGCAAAAAAGTGATGTATTCTCATACTTTCAATCATTTCATAAAATGATATGTATACAATTTGATACTAAAGTTAAGATTCTAACAACAGACAACAGTACACAATATATGGATGGTAGATTCTGTACTTATTTGGAGTCTAATGGGATAATCCGTCAAGCAAGTTGTGTCTACACCAGTGAACACAATGGTATTATTGAAAGAAAAAATAAACACATATTAAAGATAATTTGGTCTCTTATACTCACTATGAATCTACCCAAAAGTTACTGAGGAGATGCAATTCTCATAGCGACTTATCTTATCAATAGAATACCTTTGAGAATTTTTAATTTTTTAAGTCCTCTATAAATTTTGCAAGAAAACAATTCATACGTTATTTCTCCAAAGGTGTTTGAATGTGTTTATTTCCTCCATGCTAAAAATATGAACAAGTTGAAATCCAAAACTCTTAAATATGTACTTGTTGGATATTCCTCTACTAAAAAAATTACTATTATTATCATAATCCATTTAGAAGATACTGTGTGGCTAATGTTACTTTCAGGGAATCTGAGCCTTATTTCAAATCCAAACCTAAAACCTCTTCAGGTGGAGAGGAAGGAAGAAGTAATGCCTAGTATGCCCAGTTTGTTAATTCTTAACAGTTATATTCAAGAGGAGAGTTCTAATTCGGAAGGTCTCATTCAATAAGATAATGTGAGACGTCTGGTTAAGCCAGACTTGAAGAAGTATTGAAAAAAGAATAAGACAGAGAAAGCCAACGTATAGTCTAATTCAGGTCAAGAATCTTTCTCAGTTCCTGAAAATACTGGTGAATTACCTCTATTTTGTTATTTATTTGATGATATGGATAAACTCATTACTCTTAAAAAAGGAGTCAGATCTTGCACTAAACATTCTATATCTAATTTTGTTATTTATCTGATGATATGGACAAACTCATTACTCTTAAAAAATGAGTTTTTGTCTAATTTATTTTCTATGTGTATATTCTATATAATTTGAGAGAAGTTATAGAAGATTCTAAACGGAAGAAAATCATGATTCAAGAAATAAAAACATTAACAAAAAATGAAATATTAAAACTTATTTCACCTTCACAGAGAAAGAAAATAGTTGGTTACAAATGAGTGTTTACTGTAAAATATAACGCAAACGGGTCGATTGAAAGATACAAAACTAGACTGGTAACTAAAAAGTTTACTTAGACTTATAGAGTTGACTATTAGGAGACTTTTGCACATATCGCGAAAATAAACACAATTAGAATATTACTTTCCTATGCAGCTAACCTTAATTGGGACTTACAACAATTTGATGTCAAAAATGTCTTCCTCCATGAAGATTTAGAGAAAGAGGTATGCATGAAAATTCCCCCTAAATTTGAAAATGAAAGAACACAAGGAAAAATTTACAAATAAAAGAAGACCTTATATGGATTAAAGTAGTCTCCAAGAGTATGGTTTAAAATATTCAGAAGAGGTATGATCTCTTTTAAATATGAACAAATTAATGCTAATCATACCCTATTCATCAAGTACTGTGAGAGGAATATAGTTGGACAAAAAGCATTGATTCAAGCACCAAAGATAAGTTAAAACTAAAACCAAATCACATACCTGTGTAAATTTTCATTGAAATGATTATATTCAATTTGTTGAGCAGATGGAGAATTATCCATATAAAGTAAGGAGAAATCCCAGTTTCCTACACGCCAAGCAGCCTCGTACTACAAGTAGTTAGGAAGGAAAATCAAGGAAATTGGTAAATAGCACCTACTAATCTAGCCGCAATAGATTGTTATGATTATTTGACAGATTAAAAGAGAAAAAAGACCTGCAATTCTATGAACGGTAGATCATGCTGAAACTGGCCCTTCTTCGAAGTTAGCCCTTGGCAATACAAATCCAGCACGTGCATACAACCAATCTTCTGTAAAGATTTAATTAGCCCTTTGAAAGGTTTCCCCAGCCTTGTTTCATCTTCTGATGTTGAAACAGATAACTGAGAAGTTTGAGATTGTTCCGGCAATAAAGTTCCTGAACCATCATTGGATTGCACCATTGTCTCTGACCGTACTTGTAAGTCATAATATTCAAGAGCCTTGCTCCAATTTCCCTCATGCTCAAGGGTAATTATTTGATAGCTCAACTTGTGAACAACAGTGAACAACAGTGAGACTCCTATTTTATCAAAATATATTCAGAAACAAAAGATGGAAACATTTAATCCTTTTCCACTTACGGTTTAAATTTAAACATGGAAATTTTTGCTAATTTTAGAACAATCTTCAGTTTTTCCAATAAAAAAATTCTCATTAAACTAAAGAACAAAATGAAATAATTAAATCTCCTAACTAATTATAAAAAATGTACTCGATAAAAAAGAACCTTCTTTTTGTTATTTAAATATAACATACATTCTTATCACATGTTCATTGGGGTTAAAGTACTGACAAAGCACAGAATTGTCATATATTATATTGAATTTAACTTCTAAATGTATAAAAAAAATGAAATAATTAAATCTCCTAACTAATTATAAAAAATGTACTCGATAAAAAAGAACCTTCTTTTTGTTATTTAATATAACATACATTCTTATCACATGTTCATTGGGGTTAAAGTACTGACAAAGCACAGAATTGTCATATATTATATTGAATTTAACTTCTAAATGTATAAAAAAAAAGCAACTGTGTTCATACTCTTGACATCTCACCCTAGTATTATAGCAAATAAATAAAGTTTGATAACAAATTAATCACAAGCTTAATTGACTGGAAGAGACATTATATATTTTAGCAACAAATAGCATAGACAAATCTGTAAAGATCTATATATATATATATATATATATATATACACATACACACACACTATGGCGGGTGCACAAAATCTCATATACTTGGTGCATATTTGACATACTGGAGAAAATGTAGAACAAGAGATCCATGTTTGATGTACCAGGATCAAAGAAAAAAAAGAAGATAGAACATTACAAAATTTTATTTATAGACACATCCATGCTACAAAATTAATTGGTCAAGAGCAAAATAGTAAAGTAAAAACTTAGAAACCGAAAGAAGCAAATATTAACCTTATCACTGATAACTAAATTAGAATCATGCTATTTACTTCTTCTTATGATCCAAAAGCACTCTTAAGCTCTTCAAAATCTTAGATAACTAATTCAACAGATAAGCTTTTATGTCATTAGAATTTGAGCTCTATCTAATCACAAAATTTTATTAGTGCTGACATCCTTCTTCCATTGAAGCCTATGCACAATGTGGTTTTTCTTTGAAGCTATCTCCCCCAAAGATATTAGTAGCAACTAGTTCTCTTGGTCCTTTAGACACTAAACAAAAATAAAAAATTCAAAAGATTTCTTCAATACTAACATTGTGTTTGATACAAACTTTTTTATTCCTACCTAATTCCTGTATCTTAATTATTTGATGCATAGAAATTACTCATCATTTACCTATTTGATACATAATTAAATAGGTTCACTCATTTATCCAATTTGCCAATCATGAATGTGTATTTCTACCCATCAAAGATGAATTACAAAAACACCTACCTTGAATCAAACACGAAATTAACTTGGAACTATTCAAATATCTATCCTACTTATATTTTATTCATCTTCCTATTCTATGAAATTAGAACTTGAACCAAACTCAAAAGTATTCTAGCATCTTCTTATTTTTATCATTCTACACCATTTCTTACCATGAAATGTATGAAGCAAAATAAAATAATCTCAAGAAATCGATTTACTGCAGTCATCATGGACACTAACAACTTCAGCAAAAGCATGAGGTAGAAGAGCTGATTTCGAGGAAACTGCTCAACATGGTCAGCATGGATAACGGCTTCTCTAAAGGCCAATGGTGGCTTGAAAGGAACTTCAAGCTTCTCTTCTTCTAATGAAGCAGAAGTGTTAGTCCCACTCGTAAGATCAGCTTTGAGTTCTTGTAAACTATACTATAATTCCATAACTAGTAAGTACAAGTTTATTTTGTACTCAATCTTTAGCAGATAACAGTTGATGCAGCAGCCATTTGGAGAAATTTTAACATGTAGAATATCTTTAACATATAGACATTGGATTCATAACTATCCAATCTCAATAATTATCATGGATTCGTAAGGACAAAAAACTTAGTACAAGGTATCAAATATAGATTTGTTTTAGTGTAAAATATAATCGGGTAGATTATATGAAGAATTGTAACATAAAGTTTTTAATTCCATGTCAAAGCTATCGTCTTTAACCATGATCTCTAAAAGTGAGTATAGCGCATGAATTTGACAAAAGGACCTAAAATTTAATAGAGAAGGGAAAAATTTCTTAGGAATGGTCGAAAACAGCGAAAGACAGGTCAACAAGAGCCTAAAACTGGACTGGTAAATCTGGAGTAGTCAAATTTGTGTGAATGGGACAAAAATTACAGTCCAACTCACAGCTCAAGCACCCGAGAGGTGAACATGCCAGTCTCCAGTCAGTTCGGGGAATGAGCTCCAGTAGAAGACTCACTCAACACTCATGATCAACCTTGCAACGAATTTCATGTATTCTGGCAAAATCAGTCATTAAAGATTGTTGATGAGGCTGATTGAAGCTCTTTGAACCTGGTGCAGAGGGTGGTGTAAACAACCTCCCAATGGTGGCTAGTGATGACGTAGCTGACAGTCTCAACTTGTGGGGTTGTTATTCCGATTTTTTTCTTTTTACTATTCTTTTCTGAACTTTTTTCTAGTAGAAGAATGTGATACAAAGTCTAATTCTCTCTAGCCGTTTTTCCCTAAAAGTATTAAATTTAGCAAAGAATGTTGCGAAGGTTATGCTTTGCTAACAACTGATGTGGGGGCAAGTACGGTTTTTAAATGAACTTGTTCCTAAATATTTTAGAAAATAGAGGAATTTTGATAAGAAACATAGACATAAAGATAAACTAGAGGAAATCAAAGATAAAATGAAAAAGTATAGAAAAACACCTCCAGTTCACCCAATTATATGTTTCCTCAAAAAAGTCTAAATAAAGGACCAACCACCTTCCTTTTCGAACTTTGAGTATACTCCACTACCCCATTTGCAACTAATGAGGCATCTAGGATTTACCTACCTCCTACAAAGGCACTGTGGTTTATCAAGATCGTGTAATCCAAAATTTCACTAAGCCAAAGGGAGAGGATCTTAGTGGTGATTTTGTAGACACTTGTTACTAAACTAATTGGAAGGTAACAAGAGACCTTCCCAGACTTACCTCATCATGAATTAGGGTAATAAGGTGAAATCCATGCTTTTACAAATGTTCCCATTTAAGTAGAACTCCTCAAACAATTTGAATTGATCATTCTTATTCTCATGAGGAGATATTTTAGACCTCATGGCTCTTGCCTTTAATGAAGCATTTATTATACTCTTGTATATGGGGGGCAGTCCCAAGAAAACGAACAGTCTAACAGGTTTGCCATGCTTTTTGAAAAAATAAGACAAAATAAAAGGCATATTGAAAAGGATAGAAGCTATAAAAAGGATTGGGTTACAGAACATCAAGACTCAAATCAGATCATTGTAAAACATGAATTAACAAATTTGCATCAAAGAAATTGCAAATATGGCAATAGACACATAGGCTAACCTTATTTGATTGAATGATCCCATATAAACTGTCAGGTTCATTGATTTTAGTGATTGCTGAAATGAGTATCTCGACATGATTTGGCAACTGCTAATCAAAAGACAAGAAAGGGAAACAAAAAAAAATTAAAGACGAAAAGAAGTGATTTGTGAGTTGCATATAGAAATAGTCATTTGTCGCTATATTTTCCGTAACAAGTTACCATCTCAAGGTGAGAAAAATCGGGGCTTCCTAGTGTGAGTCTATTAAAATGTTCTTCACACCAATGCTCCACATACATAACAGAGGTAAAGTGTGAGCCAGAAACCTATAAAACATAAGCATGATGTCAGAAACTTGATTATACCTATCATTTCTAGTCTGACAAAAGAAAGGACAAAAAAATAAATGTCATATTGTACTCACAACGGCTGATTTAGCCACAACTAGATAATCAATGGAAAGCCAATAAACCTATGAAGAAGAAATAAACAGTCAGAAAACACAAACAATGAGGTGAGAACATGAGCAGCAAAAGGAATCAGATTCAAGATAAAAAAGAGCTCTTAACCACAACTGTTGACTTAGACACATATATGCGATTTAAATCAGTCATATTCCTATGAACACTTTTGCCCGGATTTTGTCATCTCACCTTCCGTTTGGCCTTGCTCCAAAATCATCTGTGATTAAGAAATCTTTGCACATACTAAAATCATTGTGCTGATTCCTATCTATTATCTTTAATCTACTTTTGCAGAAAAAGGAATGAATATGGGAGCGGGAGCAATAGGAAGAGGTTCCTTGTCTACTTTTATCAATGGATAAGTCCTGTTTCCACATATTATTTCTCAGTACACTGATAAGTCAATAATCTTCCTATAGCCTACAAACAGTGTTCAGCATCATGCTCCAAGATTCATTACAAGGAGTTAGCCCCTGTTCCTGCCTTATTGGGATGATCAAAAAACATCCAGACTCTCTCTAGAATCTGTCTTTCAAGGCATGGTAAATATTTTGTTTAGCTCTGTGCGAAGAAGCAAATATGACAGTGTAAAAGGAGAAACAAGAACTTCAAATATAATCTGCCTTTCCTCACTACTTATGGATAAAAACAACACCTTGTCCCATGAAATTGTTGACATGGAAATAGATATCGCACTTGATGTATCTGCTGAATTCCTAACCTTCGCACTACTGGAGCGGGACCTTGAGCTGTAGCTAGAAGGCTTAGCATACTGCAGCGATAGAGTTTAAAACAAAGTCACATATTTTTACAACTACATCAAAACATTACTGGATTGACAATCATGAAAGGATAAATAGTCATTCCCACTACTTAATAAGAAAAGAAAAGAAAAGAGTTATTTACATGGCTTCATTCAAATGCACAAGTTATTCATGAACAAATATACATATCTGTACATATATATATATACATATGTAGAAAGAGAGAGATAAGATTCTTATGTTCACAGAAGCCATTATAATGCTTAAGCTATTTGTCCATTCCAACAGGAAAATAAAGAACAAGGTTTAGTAAACCATTTGACATGCCTCTAAAGTAGGTATTTTTTAATTATTTGTCACTGATTTTAAATACATATTAACATGTATGCACATATACATACTCTTTACATATATATTGAGACATAATAGGAAGAATGGATTCAGATCCAACTTGCATTACATCAATTGGTATAAGACCCATTACAGAAGCTCGATTTATGTCCTAAACTATGCGCAGTTCCCAACGCTAGCACCATCTTAGATCAATAACAACCAGGAGGTGACTGCTAACGTCACTGGAAACAGAAAGGCCCAACTGTACCCCACCCAGAATATCAGATCACATCAAGATTTTCCAGAATATTTTTTCAACACTTCAGATGAGTTCCTAAATTTCAGCATGTTCTTGCTGTTTCTTGGATCAGTTTAGTAAAATTCACACCCCATATCACCACAGCAGATTGGATGCAAGAATATTTGATAGCATGGTTCTAGAGTGAGATTTTGGGAAGACACCAGGGTGATAAAACAACCTTTAGTCGTACAATTTTCCCGACTGTTTAGCCTTTCTTCAAGACACAAATGCTTCGTCTTTGAATTTATATTAAACAACATGGGGAACTCGGCCTGAAATTTTTATTTCACCCACAATCTATTGGATAGGGAGATTCTTGAGTTGTAAAATCTTTTGGCTCAACTAAAGCCAATTCATTTTTCTTCATTTCAAGGTACCAAAATTTAGTCCTTCGATTCATCGAGGACATACACTTGTAAAGTCCTTTTTAGAATATCTCATCGAACATCACACCCTAGCCAGTTTCATATTACCAATTTGTTTTGGGAAGAGCCAGCTCCTGCAAAGGTAAAAGTATTTACATGAACAACCATTAATCAAGGCTCAACACTTGTATAATATGCCAAACCATATGCTATCTCCAAACATTTGCATAATCTGCTTTGGAGAACAAGAGAAACTTTCATTTTTTTCTCTATTGTGAGGTTGCTTGGAAGCTTGGACTAAATTGCTAACTCTCTTTGGTATTATGTGGGTCACTACTCTGGTAATTAAAAGCCTCTTAGGG